AGAAGCAGGGGCTCAGAGTCCAATTTACAACCTTGCTGTGTCCTTCTGTGTGTTTCTTTTTTTGGGGGGGTTGGTTTCTTTGGAAGGGAAAAAGTCTTGAGTAACTTTTGTGTCTTTTTTTTGCGGGGGGGGGGGATACCGGAGATCAAACTTGGGACCTTACGCTTGCACGGCAGAACCACTGAGCTAAATCCCTGATCCCAACTTTTGTGTCTTGACACTGCAATTCACCTTAAAAGTACAATTTTAAACTTATAATTTTTCCTTGTCTCCTTTTTACCTACCTTTATTTTTTTTCCCCTATTCCACCTCAGCAATACTGTCCTGAGCTTTTTAATATCTCCTCTACATTTTGGTTAAGAACAAAATCATTCTTTCTTTAGCTTTTCTCTCACTATCTGTATCTTAGGATACAAAGGCAAAATGAGCCAACTGACACTTTCAACATTTTTCCTGGATATTTTAGCTGGAGCTTTCAGTTAATGAAGTACTTTTTCTATTTTTCACATTAGAAGTAAAAAGTTTTTTTTTACAAGTCTCTATTCTTCCAGGTTTCAATAATATTTTCCTTGACTTTCCCTCAAGGCTTCTACTGCAGTGGCCTTAAGGCACTTCCGGCTTTCCCAAAAGGAATCATGGAAGTCTGTTAGGTGTCTCCCATCACCTTCTCCAAACCACATGTTTTAAGTTTTATTAAGGAAGCACCACACTTCCAGATATCAGATTCTGTTCCACTTCTCTGTTGCTGCATAGCAGATGGCTTCAAACTTGCATTGCCATGCATTTTATTACAGTCATGGAATCTGTGGATTAGGAATTTGGACCCCACACAGAGGAGAGGGTTATCCATGTTCCATGATGCCATGGATTTCAAGTAGGACCTCAAATGGGTTGGGGAAGAACAATTGAAGTTAGAGAACCCACTTCATTGGTGACTTCTTCCCTCATAAGTCTGCCTTCTGGATGGGCAGGCTGGAAGGCTGGGACCCACTGGGTTTTTATGTCTAACTGTTTGGTACTGGGAATCGAAGTCAGGACCTTGCGCTTGCAAGGCAGGTGGCGTGTGTTTTGTTTTTGAGATAGGGTCTCACTATGTAGCTCAGCCTGGCTTTGAACACACTAGGCAGCCCAGGCTGTCCCCAAACTCAAGGCAATCCTCCTGCCTCAGCCTCCCTAGTACTGGGATTACAGGTGTGCACCACCCTGCCTGACTGGATCTGCTGGTTTTCTTGGCAGAAGACCTGAATGTGGCTTCTGAAGCATGGTGGCCTCAGGGCAGTTGGGCTTACACAGGGGCTCAGGGAAGAACAAGCCAACAAAGGCTATGGAGGTAATGAGGAACAGGATGAAGCCCACAGATTTTGGCAGGATTTTCCCAGAAAAGAAAAACTTCTCCCCTGGAGAGGGTTTGGATTGTAGTCTGAGAAGAAAATAATCTTAGCCATGTGTGTATGTGTGCGCCTGTGTGCACACGCACGCTCACACAATTCATAAGAGGGCAAACAGGTTTTCTGGGAGTAGCCAGACTGGCATGAAGATGGATGGCAAACGTGAGCTTAATCTGGTTGCTCAGCTCTGGAGTTTCTCAGCCTCACTGAGGGCCTGGGAATGGGAATGAAGCTGACCCAGTAGTGAGGGAGGGAGGTTCAGAGGCCACTACTCAGGCCGTAGCTACCAAAAGGGAGCAAATGGCACAGTGGTTTGGATAGTCGCCCCCCAAGAGGTACAACCAAGTCCCAAACTCCTGTTACCTGTGAATGTGACCTTTTTGAGAAATGGGGTATTTTTCTAAAATAAGGATTTTGAGGTGAGATTGTCACCCTGGATTTACTGCAGGCTTTAAATCCAAAGGCAAATTTCCTCACGAGAGGAGAGATTAGAGACACAGATGCAGGTGGAAAGGCCAGGGGAAGATAAGGGCAGAGTGGAGCTTGCCGCAGCCGAGGGACACCAAGGATTGCCAGCAGCCACCAGAGGCTACTGGATGTGTGGCTTTCTCAGAGCCTCTGAAAGGAACCAGCCCTGCCCACACTGATTTCAGGCTTCTAGCTGCCACAGCTGTGGTACAATAAGTTATTTGTGTCATTTTAAGCCACCCAGTTTGTTGTAATTTGTTAGGGCAGCCCCAGGAAACTAATAAAGATAGACTGAGCCGGGCATGGTGACTCACACCTGGAATCTCAGAACTCTGGGAGCCGGAGGCAGGAGGGTTGCAAGTTAGGGGCCAGTCTGGGCAATTTAGGGACTTAAAGAGACTGTCTGTGGGAGAGAGAGAGAGACAGACACACAGACAGACTCAGGTAGACTGGGCAGAAGACGGGGGACACCAAAGGCCTCAGAAGTTGGAGGAAGAGGAACAGGAACCCAGTGTCACTGTCCCCAGCTTACGTTGCTCCATCTGTCCTGTCCACCAGTTCTTGCCCTGCAGCCTTTCACAGCTCAAGCCCTGATTCCACGGCCTCCCTGCCCTATTCCAACATCTCAGCACTGCTTCCTTCTGGGGCCATGTTGAAGAGCACTTTCTTGGGACTTCCTTCACTGTGTGGCCTGATCTTTGTGTGGATTCTCTCCTGCCCTGTGCGGTTGGCATCTCCTTCTCCTATCTCTCGCTGTCTATTGAAGTGCTTTCCACACACCGAGGCTTAATAAGGTTACTCATTCTCTCCTCAGCATCCCTTGCCCTCTTGTCCCTCCTTTCTCTTTTCTCCCTACTCATCTTGAATTTATACCAAAATCTTGTCAGAGCTGAAGGATTATGTCCCCCGGGGTTCCAGTGTGATGGTGTCCACACCACAGACTGTCCCCCAGAGGAATCTGAGGATGTAATTGTTGACTCACAGGCCTTCTGTAGTCCTACTCCCAGCCGATAATCTGTGTATAAATTTGGAAAACTCACTGTAACTTCTGCTCCTGGTTTCCTCCTAGGTAAAAAGATTGGAGTAGATGTTTTCTCTTCTCTCCCTTGTTGCTTGTTGAGACCAAGTGCCATAAATTCTGTGGATTCTGGGTGAACGACTCAGCTCCTGAGAGCTCAAGTTTTATAGTTTTAAAGCTACTCATTTGGGGGATCCGTCAGGTACCACATAAACCTTTCCTTTTAGGGAAACAATTTTGGCTCGAATAGGGAATAATAAGAACAGCCCACAAAAGAATAGGCTTCCAGGACAAGGCAAGCTCTGCCCGGAGGAGCCTCTTAGGTGTTCCTTCCAGCTCTGGAACCCTGTGGGCCCCCAGAAAGGATCTACTGAGCGGAGGAGTCACCTTTTCCCCAGGAAAGTAAAGGTGGGGATTTAATTTCCCTGGAGAAGCGGTGGTATGTGGAAGCCCTGGGCTGCTCTGAGTAGAGCCTTACCCAGAGACTCCAGGACGTCTGATGCCACAATCGGAAGGCAAGCAAAGGAAACATCTGGTGTGGTATTTGCTTTTATTTTTTCCAGTCAATCACAGATCCTGGGAAGGAGAGGCCACGAAAGAGAACAGGCGTGGGACCCTAGGGCACTTGGAGCTGAGGCTGGAAGGACAGCAGTGGTGTCCTTGGACAAGCCCATGAATCGCTGCCCTCAGTGTGTGTGGGAACACCTCAGGGCTGGGGTGCCGCAGGGATGGTTTTCAGCAGAGAAACAATGTCCAAGAGATGTGACAATCTTTGGACAAAAGGAACATTCGATGGCGCTGAGAAGACAGGCCTGGGAGACCTGGGGAAGGAAAGCTGGCAGCCAGGTTCCTCCCCTCAACCTCAGCCGCAGCGCCCACTTCCTCTCCCGAACTAGGTCCTGCTTTTTCTTAAAGAGCCACAGGGGGGCAGCAAAGTGCTTGTGTAAAGTCCCAACACCCCTGGACAAACAGGCCACATGGAACTTGCCCTCAAGCCGGCCAGGGAAGAAAAGTGTGTCTGTTTGATCTTGACTCCCCCAGTAATGGAAGAACCGAAATCCTTGGGGCTTCCCCAGGCTATGCAGAAAGAGCCTCATATGTAAGCCCAGGAATTGGTGTGGGAACCTGGGTCTTGTGTGTAATGCTTGGGCCCAAATCTGCCACTTCCTTCCATTAGGAGACTTCTGGATTCCCATCAGACATGGGCAGATTCAGGCTTCTTTCTAGCTTTATAAAACCCAACCTACCTCTACCCAGGTCCAGCCCCACCCAGGCAAAAAATGTGAGGGGCCAAAAAATGTGAGAGGCCAAAAAATGTGAGAGGCCAAAAAATGTGAGAGGCCAGTGCTCTTCTTCCTCTATAGCTTGTTGTCGGGACCAATGCTACATAATTTTAGGGTAGAATCATTCGGTTAGCCTAGCTCTCCTGCCTACAGCCCAACTATGGAATTGCGAGACATAATTCCATTTTGGCCTCCGGTCACCACTGAGACCTCAATGATGCGGTGATGCTGTGATTCTCCAGGACAAGATTACACCAGCTGAAGACATCCTGGGAGGAACAAAGTCTTCATCTACTCAGTTCCTCATTGTTCTTGGATTGTTACGTCTTGTTTACGCGGATGTACTGAACTCTCTGCAAGTCATTTGTTACATTTGTTTCTCCCGATGTACGGTAAACTGGGGGCTTTCAGCTTTGCCGCTCAGAGCAGCACTGATCAAACCCAAAGCTCAGCTTCTTCTCAGTCTCATTTTTCTACCTTTCCTGTAATTCGCCTTGCGCTGTCGTGGCTCGCAGGAGACTAGGGCTTACTGCAGAGGTTCTAGTAACGTCCCCTTTCCCTGTTCCCTACAGTTTGTAGCACCTGCCCAGCTTCAGTTTCCTGTAATCCTGCATTCCTCATAATCCTGCATTCCTCTTTCCCCACCCTTCCTCCTTCCAAGACCCATCAGGTGCTCTTGGAGTGCCTCACTGCCGGGATGGGAGGTTAGACACATAGGCTTGAGCTCTAGTTTTGCTGTCAGTTCAGCAGTGCCCAGCCCCTGCTCAGGACCCAAGGCAGAAGGCAGCAGCACCCTCCTCAGGGCTGCCCACCTCCATACCGGAGCCATCGTTGAGATTTCCGTGATTTGTGCCCAGGTCACTTTATTTATGGTTGAAGGCTTGCCTCTCCTCCAGTCTTTTGGAGCCCAGCTGTGGAAAATTTACTCAATTCCATTTCTGCATAAATTCTCCAAAGAAAAGGAGGGTTTGGACAAGTGGATTCTGGGAAGCTGTCCAGTGTGAGAATGGCAGGCCAAGGGGGGTGGGGGTGGCAAACCGTCCTAGAACTAGAGGCCAGAGATTAGGAAACCAAACTAAGGCGGCTTTGGAGGGCAGGAAGTCAATGGAAGTAAGTGTCCTGGTGCTTCTCCCTGCCCCACACTGGCCACAGACTTCCATCCTGTGGTTAGGAATCACAGAGAGCAAGAAATACTTGGTATGCTAATACCACAATCCTGATGGCAGTGAGGCTAGGAATCAGAAATTCTAATTCCTAGAAACCCTGTCGCCCAGCTGGTATCCAGGGAGTGGAAACTTCAGCATTCAAAATCTAGGGAGGCTGGGAGAGGGCAGGTGCAAGGCCAGGCGGCACTCTAGGCCACAAGTCCTCAGAGATGTTGGGCTTGACCCCAACCTCTTGGCTCCCACACTGTTTCATTCCAGCCTCTCTCAGGCTGGAGGGAAACTTTGAGGGCTTTTGTCCCGTGTGTGTTGCTGGGGATTGAACCCAGGGCCTTGTGCACGCTAGGCAAGCACTTTACCATTAAGCCTCACAGCCCAGTCCCAAGAGTGATGCTTTTTGAGTGAGGCAGCCTTGGATCTGAATCCCAGATCCACCACTGCTGTGTGACCTTGGACTCATTACCAAGTCTTTCTGAGCACCTGGGCTTTGCCCTACACAATGGGGCTGCGAAGAACACTGTCTTTGTAGCACTGGTGCAGGGATCAATTTAGACCAGCACACAGTGGGCATCTCCTCCATGCCCCAGTTGCCTTTACCTCACACATATCACCTGCTGGTCCTTGATTCTTTCTCTCCTCAAATACCCAAGATAGAACAAAACTTCAAATAGGTCTGTAATAATTCTTGAAAGCTAGAAGTAGGAAAGAGGGGGTGGGTGGGGTCAGGAGTGGATGGATAGCATACCTAGTTGCCCTTCCTAGGAGTAGACAGAAGCCCTGGCATGGGAGGAAGAGGAGACAGCACAGAAATTAGAGGCCAAGGGAGGGTCCTGGTGTCCACCTAGGGCCTTTTTGCCTCCACTCAGTAACTTTCCACTGGCCCGGAGTTGGCCACGTGCTGGCTGCACACTGCCCCAGGTGTGGTCCCCTGTTGTGCACTCCCCACCAGGCACCCAGCCAGGAGCGGGGTGGCTGACGCACACCCTGCCTGAGATCCCAGCCGCCTGGAGGCTGATAAGGAGCCTTGGCCTCATATCACATGGGACCAGCTTGAGGGGCTGACCCTGGCTGTCAGCATCAGCTGGACAGCTTCCAGATTGAGAGATGTGGAGATAAGGGGGCAGGGACTCGGGGACTCTGGGCTGGGTCAAGTGGCCAGGGAAGAAGGGTATGTAGGTGGACACTGCCAACTCCTAAGGCCTCAGGAGACCTGCCTGGGGATAAGCCAGTGAATGGGAGTGGATGGGGAAGGTCTTAAGAAATAAGACATGCAGGAGGGACTCAGGCCCAGGCTCGGGTAGGGCCGGGGCAGGGCAGGATCCCTCCATATGGGGCTGGCCCAGCAGCCAGAGCTGCTTCCTCCCTAGAACACTAGCAGGAGACCCCAGTGCACCTCCCTCCTCCTCGGCGCTGTGGGAGCAGCCCAAGTAGGGCTAAGAAGATGAAGATGTGGGTCCTAGGCCTCTAACCCCAAGCACCTCCTGAGGGGACGCAGGTCTGGGGAGTTGCCCATACTGCAGAGCCCAGTCTCCCCAGTTGGTTCTCTGGGGAGCCCCGGAAGCCCAGGACAGGCCCTCACTTAGGATCAGTGCCTCCTGCCCTTACCTCCTGCTCCACAGTGCCCTGTCCTGATCCAGGAGGGCACACTAAGGCAATCAGCAGAAGTACTGACTTCCTGTCCCTTTCCCCAGGTCCCAAGTCCCCAGAGCAAGTGCTGGCCCTAGAATTGAGAGAAGGTGGGAGTCTGCACAGTCCCATCCCCCTCTGCACGGCACCCTTCCCTCATCTCCAAGCCTCCCTCCTCCTTCCTTCCAGGACGGCACTGCTTGGCCTGGAAGAGAGAGAGGAGAGGTAGGCTGGACACAGGACAGTGTGCCCAGGGTGGCTTCAGGCCCAGGAGGAATCTTGGTGTGGCACAGGCATCAGCTAGGCTTCCTGGGGTCTCCTTCTCTAGTCTCAGGTCCTCCTGGGCTCCTCCCACTGTCCTTTGGGTCCTCAAACCCAGGGGCCTTCAGCCTTGACTTCCCAGTTTGGGAGATGTAATTGTGAGGAGAGGGGCACAGGGGGCAGTGTGGGCTCAGTTCCGTGGCACCCAAAGGTGGCATATGTACAAGCTGCAGAGGGTGTGCGAGGGCTGGCTGAGGGACTGAGTGCTGGCCACAGGCTGGCTGCAGCGAGTTTATGTTGGTCTGGCAGGAGCACAGGATTAGGGGACGGAGAAGGGGCATTTTCTGGAGGAGGGCATGGGATGGCAAGGGCTCCTCATTCCCGATTAGTGCCAAAAAGCTGCAGGAAGAAGGTGAAGATATAGATGATGTCCAGGTAAATGTTGAGGGCTCCAAATATATACTCCTCAGGGCTCAGCGAGTGGCGTCGGTTACCCATCAGCAACTGGGTGTCGAATGCCAGGAACTGGGGAAGGGAGGAGACAGAGAGGACAGAGTCCAGACAGTGGGTCATGGGTTGTGGCAGCCAAGCCATCCCACTCAGGACCACCCCTATTTTATTACCCTCACTGCCGTCTGGCTGCTTGGTGACTCTCATGTGAAAGCCTAGAATCTGGAACTTTTCTAACACCTTCAGCCACTAATTCTGGTCAACACCTACACCTGCTGTAAACCAGGCACAGGGAAGCACAGAGAAAAAGAGAGGCAAGATCCTTACTTAGAGTCTGGCAGGAAGTAAGTGCTAGTGTGAGTGTAACAGAAAAAGCAATTCAAGGTGGGGCCGGGGATCCTGGCTTCCTCAAGGTAGCTCGAAGGTCCCCTTCGAGCTGAGCCTGGTGTCTTGCCATTCCCTCGGGGCCCTGCTCTGGGTCAGAGGCTAAACCACGGCAACAGCAAGCAGGGACTGAACACTTGTCATGAGCTTTACAGGCATCAGCCCATCTGTCCACTGACTTCCCTTCCTCATAGGACTTATCCCTAGAGGAAATCGAGGCTAGAGGTGTTAAATGTTTGCCCAAGTTTACACAGCTCGGAAATGGCAAGACCATGATTTGAACCCGAGCAGGCTGGCCCCAGAGCCCTGCGTTTAACCACTCTGCTCTGCTGCTCACGGGCAGCACCTGCGGTTAATGCGTTTCCTCCTAGGCCATAGGCTCTCCTCGGGGGGGGGGGTGTCTTTGAGGCCTGAGGGACTCTGAACCCACTCCCTTAGTGCCAGCTCCTTTCTGCTGCCCACTGCCCCATCAGTCCTTCCCAACAACTACAGCGAGGACACCCTGCTCTCATGCAGCTTTCCTCTGGTCCAGGCTTAGGGGGCAGAACCCCTCCAACGGTAGCATATGGATTTTGGCAGGCGTGGTGTACCTTTCCGAGGAGAGAAGCCAAAAAGTCCACCAGCGCCAGCCGTGGTGGCTCACCCTGGTAATCCCAGCTCTCAGGAGGCTGAGGCAGGAGGATCACTGCGACCCCCAAGTCAGTCTAGGCTATATAGTGAGTTCAAGGCCAGATTGCGATACATATTGAGACCTTGTTTCAAAAAACCTAAACCAAAACCAAACCAAATAAAATGGTCCTCTAGTGTCTCAAAAGGTGAGAACTGTCGTTCCACATGGGATTGAGATTCTTTAAATTCACTCATATTGTTAAGGCTGGGCTCTGCTTTTCCATTACTTGTACGTGGAAGCTTGGGTTTCCTGGGTCCTCTGAAACTAATTCATTACCATGGGGTGCCAGCTGCATGTCAGGGATTTGATGAGAGCTGTGCCTAAGCTTGGTGGGGGACACTTGTAGATAGTGACAAGAAAACTCTAGGCTATGGAGGAGGGACTCCTGACAGGACAGGACGTGTTGGGGAGAGATGCCATTGCAAGTGGGGACTGAAGGATGAGGAGTAGGGATTTGCTGGGCTGCGAGGACCCAGGGCAGTGACAAGGAACCTTTTAGAGCTTTCAGTGACACAGGCAGCTCGCTGCGGCACGCGTGCCGTAGGTTCGCCACCGCTGACCTAGGAGAACCCTGAGGACCTGAGAGGTCGCTGTGAAGACTGAGGTATTCAGTATGGCAGAGCACTGTGGGAAGAGCAGGGAGACAAAGGAGCTGGAGCTGCTAGAAGCTTGCACTTTGCCTTTTCCCTCATCCCAGCCACCAACTCCTTGCCCTCCAGGACCCAGGTGGAGGGGATGGTTATGAGCTCAGTATGGAACAGCAGCCTGGCTTGGATCTCTGCCTTGCCACTCACTAGGTGGGAGACCCGGGACGGACATTCAATCTCTCCATGCCCGTGAGCCTGTGAAGGAAGGGGAGAGTGCTGGCCCCACGAGGTTGTCATGAGAGAAAGACTGCATGTGCAGGGCACCTAGCTCGGTGCTGACATGCAGTCAGCCCTAGTGAATGGTAGCTACGGCAAGGGTGTTACTGTCACTGTCTGCAGAAGGGCAGGTGCCCTCCTGAAAACAGGTGCATGCTGCCAGTGAGACTCGGGTGGCTCAGTATCTCATCAGAGAGGCAGACATGCTCCGAGGGCAGCTGTGTGGCCTTGGCCAGGACTCGGGTCCTGCACGTGTGTGCCAGGCAGTACTGAAGGAAGAGCACTGGGCAACATGGCCTGGAGTTAGGATGTCTGGGTTTGGGTCCTGGCTCTGACTCTCAGGGTCGACTCATCCGTTTCGACCTCAGTGTCCTCACCTACCAAATGGGGTGGTAACAATGCCCATGCCCACACACGGCAGTGCAGAGGAGCATCGACAGTTATTATTCTTTAGTGTAATTCTACTCCATACCACTCTGCTGGACTTGACTTGAGTTCCCAAGTGAATTTTCCTTCTGTAGAAAGAACAAGTGGAGGGGCCAACTCCTCTGCTACGGGCTGGTTAGCAGTCACAGCTGCCAGCCTAGGTTAATAAACTGCTGATCTCGCTTATCAATCAATAGCTTGCTTGGTTGATTTCCCAGAGCCTGGTCACCCTTGGCTGAGCTAATGAAATGGAATCTCTCAGCCTAGAAGGATTGGACCTGAGCAGGTCTGGGGGTGGCCTCTCCAAAGAGCACCCATCCAGGAGGCTCCCTACAGTGGCCAGCTGGCTTTTCTCTGAGGAAAAGAGGCTCGGAATGATTTCCGCCTCTGCCCTTGGCCTTGGCCATGGATGCTTATCTATGTGGTGCTTTTGGGGGTGGCCTGCCTCAAATTTCAACCCCACTGCCTGGCACCATCATCCTTCACTGTAACCTGTGACTCCACCGAAGGCTCTTCATTAATTTATTCTCAACAGTATTTGGTGAGCGCTTACTACGTTCCAGTGAATGTGCCCTCTAGAACTGACAGACGAAAGACATTACCAGAGATTCTGTTATGGGCGTGAGTTCATTACTGGGGACAGCAATCTGCTGGGATCTCCCTGGGGGATGGAAAGCACTGTCTGGCTTCTCAGGTGAAACCAGGTATCTTGGTTAGGGCTAACATCCTAGTGGGGAGTGAGAGCTAGTTGGCTGCTAGTAACTGAGGTGACTGCTGACACCTCAAAGGACAGCAGGTGCTTGAGTCAGTAGCCAACTGAGCACCAGACCCTTCGGAAGGAGCACTTGAGATGGGCACAGGCACGGGACGAGGCAGCAGCGGGACTAGGATGCTCTTTACTCATGTTGGAGGAGTCCCTGTCCTTGCCAATTCTCTGGGCCGTGCCACTGTTTTACATTTGAGGCAGAGTCTCTGCGAGGTGATGGCTTGCAGATGGTCACTGATTCAGGCCCAGAACCAGGTTCCCCACCTCCTGTGCCGGTGGAGCTGGAGGAAGACTGGGCTTGCGGGGAGGCAGGAGGGGCCTCCACAGGGCAGAGGTTCCCCTCCCCCCACCAGGGCTACACCTGCTTAGGGCCCAGCTGCACACCTGGCCTGACACTGCTCTGTCAGGACTAAGGCCTGTAGCTGCTGTTCCCCCAGACCCGGCCTCAGAGATGAGGCTGACGTGCTCTGGGACAACCACGCATGGAAAGCCCAGCTCAGAGCCACTATCAGGGAGGCACTGAATACAAAGAGCTGGGGTTGCAATGTGTCAAACTAGCATAAAAAGGAACTCGTGGACTGTATCCATCCTACAGAAATGCCAGCCTGGGTGTGCAAAGTAGCACACCCAGTCTCTTCTACCAGTGTTGGTTCTAACAGTGATTCACTGGAAACAGCCCAAACTCTCCACAGGGGGTTAGTAAATGAGTCAACAACAGTACTGAGGCTGCAGCATCTCTGATATATGCTACTATGAGAAAAAGGCAGGCAGCAGAAAAATCCATTTCATACAATCCCACAAAGCAAGACATGTCACAGGAGCCTAGACAGCACGTAACTATTTGGAAAGGTCTAGAAGGAGAGACAACTGCCCAGAGGGGAAGACAGTGAGCATAAGGTCACAGAGGTGTTTATCTATTTTAAGAAATTAAACACGAATACGAATATATATTCATGCATTATGAAGTTAGAAATCAAAAATAGAAGAGGGAAAATAACACAACTCTGTCATTTAATGCTCACTGTAGATCTTTGCGACAAGTGTTGCATCACCATCTCCATCATTGCTGAGGAGCCTGAGGCACAGACAGCCTAAGTGACATGCACACTTCCCACAGCCAAGAGGACAGCTCAAGTCTTCTGATTACAAATCCCAAGAGAAATGACCATGGTGTATGTATGTGTGGGTGTATGTATGTGCAGAAGGATGGAAGGTGGGAAGAGAAGCAAACACCTCATGGCCCCGTGCAATGCAGGCTTCCTGGGGCAATGCAGAGGGCATTGGTTTCACCTGGCCCTGCCTCCACTTTCTGAACTGGAGGGTAATCTGGGACTTTGGGGAGGCTTAGGAGAAGGGACTCTGTGCCCAGCTTGGGCTGCAGGACAGCTGGGGCAGCAGGGGAGTGGGGAGAAGCCACTGAGAGCAAGCCTGGGCTCCGTTTCTTGCCTGATGCCAATAGAAGGCACTTCTTCTCACTGACCTTGATGTCAGAATTCTTAAATGTGCAGCCAACGTTTGCAACCTCAGGCAAGCCACTGAAGGAGCAGAGTCTAGCATCAGAGCCAGAAAGCCTGGCCCAGGATGAAAAAGGAATAGTGTATAATTATGCGTGCATGAAAGAGTCCATTATGAGAGAGGGCATGAGTATAATGCAGTACCTAACAGCACAGGCTGGGGACACGAATAGCCTGGGCTTAGGTCTTGGCTCTGACCCTAGACAACTCCCTGTTCCTGACCAGTCAAGCATTACTGATCAGTGATGATACGCACGCATTGTCTAAGGGCTTTCATATGTCGATTAACGTAAAACTCACAACCTAGGAGATGGGTATGATTACTACAAATCAGGAAACTGAAGCACAGAGATGTTGCCTAATTTGATTTAGTTCACACAACCAGAATGTGGCAGAGAAGGGTTCTGAACCTAGTGACCCTGGCTCCAAAACCTGGTGCCCTAAGTGGAAAG